ACCTTATCAGATACAAAAGTTACATTTCTTGGTATATAGGTCTTGCTATATGTTGGTCTTAACCATCCAGCAGAAAAGTATAAAAATGTATATAAAGTAAAGCCATATTAATACAATGAGCTGTAAAAGGCTCAAGTCAATAACTTCTGAGGATAACCCACTGTCAGGGTTTAGTTGAATTCAAGCACCTATGGTATTTAGATGCCAATAGAATATTGACCTCTGACAGACAATAAAGAAAGGATACAAAGGAAAGATCATTTTGTGTTGATATATACAAAATAGGATAAATTTACAGCTACTTTCGCTTAATTCATTGAGAAGAAAGAGGTGTACCAACAGTGTTTGGACAGAATATCCTGTCTGCTTCTTGTACTATGGATAACCACTAAGAAGATAATAATGTACAATGTATTGATTATCAAAACTGTCCTATTAATCAGCTGTGAGACTGTCTCATTCGTATTTATTTCTCAATAAAAAAAATGATGCCATTTCATTTATTCATGTAAGAAGTGGTAAGAGTCTGAACACATAGCAGGGAGAATAAGGTGGATAGATACAAATGATGGAGAGGATGTAAAATTGACAGTCATGCTGCCTTCAGTACAAAGAAACAAAAGAAGTAATGGATAGATTTCAGGTTTATGGGTCAGGTAGTTAATGAATTACATTTCACTTCACTGAAACTATATATTGTGTGATAGAGGGAAAATGAATGTAGGTGGTTTTTGGTTCTATGTAACACCCAGGCGGCAATGATAGATATGATTTGGAGCCTAGGAGCAAAGCCAGTAGCCATGAATGTGTCAGAATAAAGTCCTGAGACCAGGTGACATTATTCTGGCATGGTTTTAGATTGAGAAAAGGAAGAATATTCAAGACAGAACATGATTTTTAATTGTGAGAAAAAGAAAAGGAATCCAAACAGTCATCAGTCTCTGCCAAAGTATTATATTTTGGAGAAAAAAAGGAATTGCAATGGGTTGAAAAGAATTATTTACATTGACTTAGTATGAAATAAGATAAAAATTGGTATTAGAGGATATTATCAGTAGCATAGATAATTACCATAGCACTTGAGTAGACCAGGTAATATAAAGTTTGATAACTTCCCTGAAGAGTCCATATTATTGCTGCTTCATTTAAATACAACAGTTGTTACCATTTGTGTCCCCCCCAAAGCCTCCTGTCCTTTTAGATGGGGCTTTTTCAGAGGTGACTAAATCTAGTGCATAACTGATTCATATGCTGAGATTAAGGGTGGGTGATTGTTAGGGGAGTCCATTGATTGGATTGGTACCACCTTAGTCCCAGTAGATTGGATACAATATAAGGGACAAAGAGAGGTTTGTCTTGCTTTCTCGTTGCTTTTGCTGTCTTCCACTGCCATGAACGAATGCCCTTCTTTTGTGTATCACTCTGCCTTTTATGGACTGAAACTTCTACAAGCTGAATAAACCTTCCCTCTTTAACTTTGGGCACTGAGTATTTTGTATAAGCAATGTGAAAGGTAACTAAGCAGTCAAAAAATTACAGCTGTTGTACATTTCTGTAGATTTTAAAATTTCTGGGAGAATTGTCATTTTTTCCTGCCAAAATTGCTATGCAATGTTAGATGTAGTATTATTTGACTGGTATTAAGAAACTAATTAATTTATGTTTTAAAATAGATATTGTTGGGCTGGCCAGAATGCTCAGTGGACTAAAGCACCTGCTTAGGCAGGCAAAGTGGACCAGGGTTCAATCTCCAGCATGCCCTGTCAGCCCTGCCTCAGGGGCACGCTGAGACAGCAGTTGAGACTGGGCGTGGTGGTGTGCACCTGTAATCTCAGCACTTGGGAAGCTGAAAACAGGAGGATCACTATGAGTCAGATCTGTGTAGTGAGGCCCTGTAGACCCTGTACCACATAAATAAAATAAAATCGGTATTGTTATAAATGTATTGGTGCTAGAGTCAGAAACTATTGCAACATTGTTACCCTGAAAAAAAAAAAAGTCGCCGTTTCAAGGTCAATAAACTAATTGGCCAAAAGTAGAAGCATGGTGAACAAAAATTTGAAGCTATTGTAATAACATAAATTAGACAATGCAGAGATGACCTGCACTACTTCAGTGGCCTTACATGGGCATAAGTGCTCAGATATCGCATCCATTTTGAAGGGAGAATTGTTCATATCTGCTGGTGACATCTATGTGAAGTGATAGAGAAGAGTCACAATGCCTGGTTCTATGCCTGAGTTAGCGTGTGTATTGGTGACTTCCTAAAATAGGAAAGATTGAGAGGAGTGATTTGGGCTTTTCTGGCCAGAAAGTAGTAGAATGGAGGACAGACATCAAGAACTCTAATTTAGACATAGTGAAGAATTTGATTATTTGACTTGATTTTCCAAAATATATGTTTTTCTGGGAGATTCTCTCTCCACTCATTAAATTCTTATTATAACCTGAATATAGGAACTACTTATGGTAAAAGAGAAACAATTGTTTTACTTAGCATAAAATTTCAAATGAAACATTATAAAAAAAGAAACATGAACATGTTAATATTTTTGTGCTAAAGATATTGGTACTATGATTAGATTCAGGATACCTAAGCTAATAAATCTTACAGAGAAATATTCTGTTAATAGGTAATGTAAGTCATGTGAGAAACAAACTTTTTTAGTCAAATCAGAATAGTTGTGAATTGTTTTTCTTGTCTATTCTTTATGTTTTTGACAGATATTGTCAATATAAATCGAATATCAGACCTCCATTAAAATAGACTATGGTAGGGCTAGCAAAATAGCTCAGCAGATTAAAGTACCTGCAAGCAGGCGTAATGGCCAGGGGTTCAATCCACAGGCCTGCCATGCCAGCCCTGTCCCCAGGGTGCACTGAGATGGCAATTGAGACTGGGCGTGGTGGTACGGGCCTGTAATCCTAGCTCTTGGGAGACTATCAACAGGCGGATCACTATGAGTCCAATCTGGTAGTGAGACCCTGAATCCCCTATAGACACTTCCCTAAAATACAAATAAATAAATAAAGACCATGGTTAAAATCAGCCCAAATAGAACTGATAAAATCTTTCTAGTGACCTTTAGAATAGGCCCAAAAGGGCTGGGGATATAGCTCAGTGGCACAAGTGCAAATGCGAGGTCCCGAGTTCAATTCCCAGTACCAAAAATAAATAAATAAAAAACAAAGAAAATAGAATAGGCCCCAAAAAGCTCCTGCACAGCAAAGGAAACAACAGTTAATTGACAGTCTACAGAATGGAAAAAAATTTGCCAGATTTTCCTCAGATAGAGCTAATATTTATTTATTTTAAAGATTTATTTAGTTGGTACAGGGTCTTGTTATGTACCTCAGACTTACAGTGATCCCCTTGTCTCAGCCTCCCTAGCACTGGGATTATGGATGTATGCCACCATGCCCAGTTTCAGTGGCCAGCACAGCACAGGGCTGGCAAAGCATGTGGTATCAGGGATCGAACCCAGGTCTTTGTGCTTTCCAGGAAGGTGCTTAGACTGCTAAGCTATCTCCCTGGCCCCAGAACTAGAATCTAGAGTATGTAAAGACACAAAAATTAAACCACTCACAAAATTAAAATAAGCAATAAAAATGGGCTTAAAGTGAATAAAAACTTCTCAGAAGCACAAATGGCCAATAAATACATGAAAAAAATGGTCTCTGGCCATCAGAGAAATCCAAATTAAAATCTGTGTAAGAATGAAATTCAGCCTTATTTCAGAAAGAATGGCTACCAGTAAGAAAACAAGTAACAAATGCTGCTGAAGCTACAGAGCAAAAGGAACTGTTCTTCTATATTTTTAGTGGGAATGTAAACTAATCCAACCATTGTGGAATTCAGTGTGGAGATTGCTCAAAAACCTGAAACTAGGAATTCCATTTAACTTACTCCTTTTCTAGCTCTCTTCTGAAAGAGATAAAGATATCCTATTATGGTGATACATGTATATTCATATTTATAGCAACATATTTTGTAGTAGCTAAATCCTGGAAGTGGCCTGTAGTTCCATCAGCAAATGAATAAATTTAAAAAAGTAGCATTTATACACAGTGAAGAGCCAAAAAGGACAAATTTGAGTCATTTGTAGGAAAGTGAATGCACCATGAAACCATGATGTTAAGTGACATAACTCAGACACATAAATGTTACTTATCTTTTATACAAGAAAGCCAAAATATAAATAAAGAACAAAATAAAAGGTAAAGAATAGGAAGTAGAACTTTTGCCAAAGGGAAGGCTATCAAGAGATGGAGGGAGGAAAAAAGGGAATAAAACAGAAGAATGTGAGTTGCATGCAACAACTTCCCATGAGAAATACAGTCATATACTGCACACATGTATCACTAACAATTTAAAAATTTTAAATAAATGTATTCCTATATTTTAAAAGAGAATAGGTCCAGAAGCAGACTAATTCTCAGGAGTAGAGGGAATGATAACTAGAAAGAAGCAGCTGTCTCCTCACCCCTGCCCTCTTGGAAATATTAAGCACTTTGTATTATTTGACTGGTCTCTTTTACAGTTAGAGCAAGCATCCAAGTTGGAATAAATTCCTTTCCATCTTAGACTAAAATAGAATCATAATGCAGTAAGAATTAAGAAAAGGTTTTTTTAATGTAAAATTTCATTTCATCAACCTGTTAAATGTGATGAACATTTAGTATGAGCAAATTCCAGGAGGCAAGGACCTTGCTATATTCCCAGCACATGTGTATGTGCTCTGCTAACAAAACATAGAAGCATGGCTTAATGTATTTTTATGTTTCTTCACTAGAGGGTGCTGTGTAAGCATTCACTACTTTTAATTATTCTTTTTAGTTTTTCTGAAAGGTTAGATTTTTAAATTACATGGTTTTACTAAAGGCTTTTTTCTTTGTTTTCACAGCAGCATTAATGGTATTGAGTATGATTAAATTCATAAATTTTAGTAGTTATTAATAGCAGCATTAGTGCAAATGTTTCTTTTCTTCCTCTTTCTTAGGAAACTTATGACTCCAATCATGTATGCTGCACGGGCTGGTCACCCTCAGGTTGTGGCTCTCCTTGTTGTTCATGGAGCAAATGTTAATGCCCAGGATGAGAATGGTTATACTGTAAGAAACACTTCTCAAACATTGATATTTTTATTAATAGTCTATAAAAATGTGTGGGCTTTGGTTGTTTGATTTTTATTACAATGAGTTTTATAAAATAGTTTATAGAAGACCTGAGATAGAATCAGTTAGTGAAAAACAGAAAAAAACTGAAGGAAAAAGGGAGATTATTTAATTTTTTTTTAGTATTTTTTCCTGATAGAAGTACAGGTAAATTTCTCTTTTATTATATCAAAATGCTGTTGAGACTATTTCCTAACTACCTCATGTACACTACTTCTCTTTAAACTTTCCTCCCTTCTTATAGGCTTTAACATGGGCAGCACGTCAGGGTCATAAAAATGTAGTTTTGAAGTTACTGGATCTTGGAGCTAATAAAATGCTACAAACCAAAGATGGACAAATACCAAGTGATATTGCAAAAAGAAATAAGCATCTTGAGGTATCCATCTATATATTAAACTACGTATTCTGTCACATGTCACATTATCCTATATAGAACTTTTATATTACTTTGTTAGAATTCACATGTGTAGTAAGAATATTTTTGGCTGTTATTAAATTTTTAAATATATCTTTCTGCAAGTAATGAAAGTTTTATTGTGCTAGAGTATTCTGCTTCTAACTTAGATGGCACTGTAATGTGATAATTCAAGTTACGTAAAAGTATAATAAAAACTTTTCCTAAAAATTGTAACAAGCCTACTTAATTTCAAACTAGCTCGTAGTTTTAAGAATTAATTTGTATATTGAGTGCTAAGATTATTAAAACATCAAATTATGAGAATGTAAGTAAAATACTGGTAATTTAAAATAATGGATATTAGAAAATTTAAAACTTAAATCCTTTAAGTTATATTTTATCCCTATACTTGTGACAGGGTATGTAGTGGAGTAGTAACACAGTTTGTGCATGATCTACTATCACTTGATTTTAAATTCAACAATATTTTATATATATATATATATTATTACTTTAATGACATAAACTTTTGCTTTGAACACTAAAGCTTTAGCCAGAGATCTGTAATTTTTAAGCAAAGATCAAATACAGTACAATTGTAAATTAAGTTATTTAGTTCAAGAGTTCATAACACCAAATTTCTGCATTTTAAGTGTGTGAAATTCCAAAAGTCCCATTATATAATCATCAGATCTTGTCACTTTTACTGCATGTAAAATATTTGTCTCTAATTTTTTGAGCAATCTAATAAACATGCCTATCATTTTTCAAATAAAATCCTCATTTTCAAAATTATTTGAGTAGATGACAATCTGTAAAATTCTATAAAACTTCAGAAAAGCTTATACTTTTTCTTCTAAGATGTAAAATTTTAAGAACAAAATTGGTTTATTGCATTATTAAATTTTTGATAGATAACACTGACTTTGACATGGTAAGAAATGTATGCATATCAAAATTTATTTTGAAAATTTTGAAGAAAAAAATTTATTTTGAGTCATCCATCGTTCTTTAAAGTGAGATTTAATCTTATATTTTGACTGATTACATGACATAGCTTTGACTTCTTAAGAAGTTAGATTGTAAAACTAAATAATTTCACTACATTTTGGTATATAGGGTTGGGATTTGTGTAGTTAGTCATGCTTTTCATTTCCTCTCCACTTAGCAGTACACATAAAGTACTCCCATAGCACTTAATTTTTCTGAGTCGTTTATCAAAGCAGCACTTTTGTTTTATATCTTACTGCAAATATTACTATCTTCACATTTACTAATTTGAGCTAGATGTACTTTCTTGTGATTGTTATAGGTCAAGGAAGTATTTACTTAATTTTATGAAATGTTTTCTCAGGGTAATGATGTGAAAGTTCTGTCCCTTTCACTTTGGTAAAATTACTTTCTAGATTAAAAATCATGCTTAGTGTCTTTTTAAGTGTAAGTGGTAGTCTAAAATCATGTTAACTACATTTCAGTGGCTTTGAACTTTTTTCAGATCTTCAGCTTCCTTTCTTTGACATTAAATCCTTTGGAAAGAAAGCCTCAGCAATTAACTAAAGAAGAGACTATTTGTAAATTATTGACAGCAGATTCTGATAAAGAAAAAGATCACATATTTGGGTAACAGCATGATTTGGTTCAACAGAATTCCTATGAATTTTTTAAATGCATGTAGTAAATGTGGTAGTAAACGTAAATGTGGTAGTAAAAGTAAATGTGGTGACCTATTTAAACTATATGATACTTTAAACTTTTACAAGCATTTTAAAAATCATGAATGTCTGGATTTTAGGTACCTTGTTGTTCAAAATTTTAGAAAAATTTTATTCATATGTTCTAATATTAATCATAGTAACTAACCTCAAATGTAAACTTTTAGTTAAAGCAGCAAAACTTAACTTTTGAAAGATTCAGATCTGACAGTGGTGGCTCATGCTTATAATCCTAGCACTCTCGGAGGCTGAGGCAGAGATCACAAGTGCAAACCCAGTATAGGCAGTTTATCAATTTAGTAAGACCCTGTCTCAAAAATTTAAATAAATAAATAAATAAATAAATAAAATAAATAAAGCCTAGGGATATAGTTCAGTGCAAAGGCCTGCCTTCAATTCTTTGTACAAAATAAATAAATAAATATAAAAATCAAGATTAAATTTGTGTTAGGGTTTAAACTTTTATATCTTGCCTTATAATTATTTTCAGTACTTTTTAATTTATAAGCTAAAATTAATTTTTCCTCTGAACCCTGTACATAGCTACAAATTATTCTATAGATTCCACACTTAAAATTATTTTTACTTACTACAATTAAAGGGATTTTTATGTGCAGAAATTTCACAAGGAATACATATTGGTGAATATTTTCATTGTTAAAAAAGACAAAATATATTTTACCACCATATAATTTTTTTTTGCATCTTTGTGAAAGAAATCTTGCTTTGAGATAGGCTTATAATTCAGTGATAGAGTACTTAGCCCTGGATTCAACAACAGCATACCAAAAAAAAAAAAAAAATCAAGTTTATTCTTTGATACAGTGTTAAATATGTTGTGTAAATTTGCAGATATATTCTACATAGATTCATTATTACTCATTCCTGTTCTCTCCCTGAAATATAAATACTTTGTATGCATTTATAATCTATTCTGAAATTGACATTGCTATAAATGTGTGTAGTTCATATACAGCATTTGGAGATCTAGAAATATTTTTACACGGCCTTGGACTGGAACATATGACAGACTTATTAAAGGTAAGATTTCACATAAATTACAATTCTGTGTACATACATTTATTGGTTGGTTAACATAACAAATATAGATTCATTGGACATGCCTATGAATGAGTGCTATTCATTTTTTCTATAATTTGGAGTATATCTTGTTTTAAGCTTGCAACTATCATTTCAAAATTTTTTTGCAAATTAACATAAATTAGAATCTGGCTAGTTTAACAGTTTTCAATCCACTGCCCTTGCCTTTGTGCACAGTTAAACTCTTTATTTTTGCTTTGCTTTTTTAGCTGCAAATCCACCTCCTTTTTTTTCCTTCCCTTGAGGCAAGGTCTCCCAGTGTAGTTCAGGTTGACCTTAAGTTCACTGTGTAGTCCAGGCTGGCATGGAACGCGCTTTGACCTCCAGAGTGCTGGGATTATAGAAGTCTATGTCTATGCAACCCAGTTGCAGTTGAAAATCTTATGCAAAATAGAAGAAGCTTGATTTTTAAACCAAACAAAACTATCAGATTATCCCTCAGATTACTAATTGCATTATATTACTTAAATATCTTTTTTTACAAAAGTAATAATAGCTAGTATAGGCTTATCATGTTAAATTAGATTATGTGCCAAGCATTGCCTACATTCTTTAAGCAGTGCAATATATTGTACAATACAGGGAAATTTTAAAATAATACAAATTTTTATATTAAAAGATGTATTGTCATTAATCCCTCTCAAAATGCTTTTCCTTGCTTTGAACACACTTATCAAATTCTTCTTGCCACTTTCTGAAGCAGTTTACAGTCCATATACACAGCAATTTCTATGAAATTAAAACATTATGGTGTGTCCTCATCTACCTTATTCAACAGATTTGCGCATACCCAAAGTCAAAGTGAACATGGATAAATGTTTGCAACTCGGGGCATCAAAGCCACCCCGACAGTGCAACTAAAGACACTGACAATAAGAAGACTTCGAGAACTGCTTCACAGAGTAACAAGGATGATTCAGTGTTTGAAGAAAGAGTATTTTGAGGAACAAAATTTCAGTTAGTGATAAATAAATATTTACTGTAATAAATGTTTTTTTAAATTTAACTATTCCTATATGTTTTGGTCAAACCACATATATTGTAAAATTTAGATGTAAGTAGTTATCAGCTAGATGAAGATTCTGACAGTTTTAGTGGGAAAATGTACATTTCTGTTCAGGTGTTTCACACCTGGATTTCACTGTAGAATCTTGAAACTTCTTCCTGTATGGAGAAATTTTGAGTGAAAATTCATGTTTTAATGAGTTAATCCACATTATATTATTTTTATACTTTGGCTTTTAGTTAAGCAAATATGAATGTGAAAGCTTTCTTTGAATCTGGAAGACTAGCTTTGCTTTTATTTTTCAGGTGAATACATACTGTCTACCTACTAGTGTAGTCCTGTATCTGCATATTCTGTTCTGCCCCTCTAGAAAGTTGGAACTTGTTGAAGAGTACATAACTAACTCATGTGTACTTACCTACCTCCCCTTGTACTACTTACCTTGAAAAGTAGTGAGTTTTTTCCCTTTTCTACAGGAAAAGGATATAACTTTAAGACATCTTTTGACCATGAAAAAAGATGAGTTTACAGAGGTTAGTATACTTTCAAAAACTTATGTTCTTGGTATTTTAAAATTGTAGATACTTTTATTTTTTATTGTAAAAATCCTGGTGCTATAGAGTGTGATTGATTCTTTACTAGGTTCTTCATTAGATATGAAACAGACAGCCATATCTAAAATCCCACTATATTTTTAAGTCACTTTAAGTAAAGCTTTTAAAGTTTTGGATATTTTCCTGTCAGATTGTCAGGGTGTCTTAACTAAATCTGGTACTTGGATTCCAAATTGAAATACATTTGTAAAATAGGCTATGAATTAGAGGTATTTTATTATTATGTGGGTATAAATACGTGTTTTCCAAATAATACTCCTTTTGGTGGGTTCTCAAGATTGTAAAAACTGGACCAGCTAGATAGCTCAGTGGACTGAAGCACCAGCTTAGGCAGACACAGGGGTAGGGTTCAATCCCTAGAATGCTGTGCTGGCCTCACCCCCAGGGGCCACTGAGACAGCAACTGAGACTGGGTGTGGTGGCACGCACCTGTAATCCCAGCACTTGGAAGGCTGAAAACAGGAGGATCACTATGAATCCGATCTGTGTACTGAGACCTTGTAGACCATGTACTAAATTTAAAAAAAAAAAAAAAA